ATCCTGATATAGGAACAAAGTTACCTTTTATTTTGCTGTAGTCAGAACATAGCATCTAGTGCAAGCACAGTATATCACAAATGTTCCAGCAAAGACTTATGCTTGCTGCATTTTATTTGTGATAGATAAAGCTTTATTTTCCCAAATCGATGCAACTTGAAATTTTCACTCGATCAGTGTCACCATACACAAAACTAAGATGTTTTGTGTCATGTTTGTAAAAGCTCTACTGGACTTTTTTGTGGTAACCTACAGCTACTTCTTTTCACAGTTTCATAGGCAGCAATGAAAAAATCTTGTAAAAGGTACTAACAGATACGTCACTTTACACTGTAAATACGTGATACAAATTGTTAACTAAACCCATCCTAGGGCAAGGGTGTTTCCTCTTTTGTTTTCTCTAAAGTGCTTACAGGTTTTTTTAAATCTTTTTCGGCTTCTCAAGGTGTTTTGTTTTTTTTTTTTCTCAAACTCCTTTATTGTGTTAGTCGATCTTGTCAGATTCCATTGCAAGGATGTTTCAAAACAGAATTCCTATTGCAAGGAGCTCAATTTCAGATGGGTTGCCTCTGCCCAGGGGATAGGCTGCATGCACAGAAGAGATTAATCCGATTACAGGCTGGGCTTTAAATATGGCCTGCAAGATCAAGCATAAGGTACTTGAAGTTGTTTTTAAGTATTTTGGTGTATTTTCTCAGGTTGGATATGCAGGTACAGTAATCCCTATTGTGGAAAAGACACCAGCCTTGTGATCAATGCAAGAAGTTTCATGGCGTTCTTTACACTTGAAAGAAAAAAAAAAAAAATTGGTGGTATGGGAAAGTACTAACCAACCAAAATATTGGCAACACGCAAGTACTGCATTCTACTCCTACTGCGTAGGAGTGCAGTGTAATCATTCCAAATCTGTTTGTGATGTGCAACAGGAACCGTAAGAAGGTTAGCAAGTCTTCTGGTGGATGATTCATATGCAAATAACCATGCAGAGCGCTGTTCAAATCCACACTTTGTTACCTCTGGCACTTTCAGACACTCTAGGTGTATTTTGCCACACGGTAGCGTAGGGTTGCCTTCATGGAGACACAGTGCCTTCGCCTTCCTGCTAGTGACAAGAGTTGTTCGCCGTGCCACGTGCGTATTCAGACAGGTACCGACGGGCACTCACCAGCAGCGCCGTTCGGCAGACGGTTACCGAGCAGGCTGCTCGGGCTCTTCTGCCGGTGGCGTTTGTGCAGATAGTGGGAGGGAGCTGCTTCTGATCAAATCATTCATCCCCCTCCCCTGGGAAATGAATCCTGTGGGATAGGTGGCTACGGGAAGCCATGGCTCCATCTCAGTAGCCACAAATGCTTTCCTCTGGTTTCAGAAGTGGAGGAACACTTACGGCTTTCGTTATTTCTTTAGCAGTAACAGATCTAATCAATGTTTTAATATTACGGATTTTAACAGGAACACCCCTCTTAACTGTTTGACAAAGTCTGTTTTATCAGCTTCTCGGATGAGCTACATTTCATATTGCTCCTGCTATTTCACAGCTTTTACAAACAATTGCTCTGAATTTTCTTTAGGAATGTAACACAAGAGTTTAATTACATCATGATGTTAAAACCCTTTATCACGTCTTAAATTGTCTGTCATCTGATGAGACAGAAAAAAGCACATTTTTGTTAACGTTGCCAAACCCTAATCACTAGAGCTAGCAAGTGTTTAATTAACTCCAGGTATCAATATTAAAGAGAAAAAAAACCTATCACTGTTTCCAGTCGACTATGTTTTTAGGAGTTTTGGGGTACGTTTTATTACAGTGAATACGGAACTTAGAAAGAGCAGACATTTCTTGCAGGGAGTAGTCAAACCTAATTCTCATGGAATGCTTGTTTCCCAGTAAAATGCCACTAATTCAAGCCAAGTTCCCAAGTTTGTGTCTGTCAGAACAATGCAAATGACATTTTCAAGAAAGAATGGAAGCCCTGGTCTCACAGGGATTTATAGGAAAGACAAAGTCTCTTGCACTTGTGAATGTAAAAATTACATATAGCTAAATATGATGATGCATTCTCAAATGTTACCAGCCTACTGATCTAGGATGAAAAAAACTTGAACTAAACATTTTTCTTCTTTTTTACATTCTGATTTTTTTTCCGTCTCCTTTAAAAATAAGAGGTTGAATTCATAGTGTTTGTATAGAGACTGGTAGGAACCTACGTGCTTTAAAAAAAAAAAAGTCATCCTTTAAGATTGAATGTAAACACAGTTAATTTGAAATATGGTTTTGCCTTAATGGTTTTCAAAAAAAAAAAAATAATAAAGTATTTTTAAAAGTGGATTTAATGACTTGTGCTGATCTTTTATTTCCAGGAAAGTAATTCACTGTAATGTCATGGTTTTAAAACAAACATACTTGTTACCGTCTGCTCGCTGCCTCTTGTACGTTATCCAAAGCAGCTGCCAAGTCTTAACCGAGTTCCTCATTCAATGACCGTGCACGCATGAATAGCTTTTATGTACACGAAAGTAGTTCTGTTCTGCGCTCTTGTACAACCACTTACGACTCAACTGATAGCTTGTGTAAATGTTTGCAGAATCGGGACCTGGGGAGTGCAGGGTGGTGGCGCACCTGGGAATGGTGACACCCGTCGCTCCTTCCGCGATAGTACCAGTGGCATGAACCTGTGTTTTGGGCTGCTCCACTGTAATTAAGAACTTGAATGATTTTGCCTTAACCCGATTTGCCTTAATTTGGTATACAAAGCCCTGCTTCAGAAAACACTTAGCTGCTTAACTTTATACCGGGGAGTAATCATGCTGATTTTCAGTAGTGAACAAGAGTGGATAAGCAACCTTTGGTGGGATTGGTGCCCAGATTTTTTTGGGTTAGCATCAAATATCTGTTAACAAGTTGTATTAAGTATGTTTACTACATAATAAGATGTATTAAAGGTGGAATGATATTTGAAACATCTTTAAAGTGCTCATGCTTACAGATTTACTGTTAGACACACCTTTTAAATTAGGAATGCGTGCGTAACATACACATATTCATTGCATATATAATATATATTTACATAGATATTTCATCAGTTTGTCTGCTGACCCACCGTCCTGCTGTGTCTTTCCATTCTCGTTGACTGTACGACCAGCTTGAGACATTCGTTGAATTCAACGAGCATGGCTTCAGTTAAATCGGTTGGGAGGATAATTGTTTTCCTTCAAGAACCTGGGGATTTATTAAGCTGGTAAGAGTGCCGAAGGGAAAATTACAGCAGAGGATGAAGAATCACAGTTCCTCATCAGCTGTGCTCAGGAGCATTGAAGGCCTGATTCTGAGCAGCAGGAAGTACTCGGAGAACCTGATGAAACCAAACTGTAAAGGCTGTGCGTATCTTGAAGAGTAGGCCTCATGGCTGGTAAGTTTGGGCATGACGGCATTTGGTCTGTGAAATCACATATATACCAAGGCATTACGATACAGAGATCATAATGCTCACGTTCAGTGGGAATATGAGAACGTGGAATAAGTAAGTTTTAACAGCTGGGCACAGATAATAATCCTTTGTCATTCCAGGAAATACCAAATTGCATGTAGGTCAGCCTTCTTTCCCTAAAAAACCAGAGATGACAGAACGTATCTGACGGCCCTGGGCAACTGAACCACTTTGTGGTATTTGCTGGAAGCACCCTCTTCTTCACCTGAAAGGCGTGCGTAACCAGGTAACTGTGAAGCAAGGGTATCCTGAACTTGGCTTTTTCTGTTGTACTCGAGATAAATAAATGAGCTGTACTGGGCCAAATTAAAAATTCTGTAGTTACAGATTCTGCTCCCTTTTAATACTGAGTCTACTCCTCCTCCGGTTCAACTTAACAAGTACTTAAAGGTGGGGTCATTTCTGAGGGCTTTCAACGATTCTTCTATCGCATCATGATGGCAAAGATAATGATTATGAATAAATGAGTTAACTGCATTTTTCTTAAAGGGCACAGAGGAGGTTGAACAGGAGGGAAAACAGCTCAGAGACACTAGATCCTTCCCAGCACATTAGCGGGTGCATCTCCCAGTCCCAAGACAGACTTGCATGTCATCCAACCAAAAGGCACATTTTCATTTAGATGGGAACTGCACGAGCCAGGCTTTTAAAACCTACTTTCAGGCTGAGAGTTAAGACAACCTGTTGCAAACATTGTGAAATACAGGAAATAAAATGTTTTAGAAAGACATTTGCTGGTATAAACATATTATGTGATCTCACGTAACTACGTTGCTTTTTATCAGCTTGATTATAAGACTACAATTTTAAGGTGGAAAAGCACTGTGATTCTCTTTCTAGCATCTCTCGTTCTCTTTACAGTTGTGGTTTTAGCATAGGTTATGCCTCTGTTATCTCTACAGAGCAGACAAATACACTACGACGTTTAAAGTCGGTGTGTCTAACATGAAACCGAAATTTAATACCACCCATTTTAAATAAGTTTAGTATCACTTTCTTTGAAAGCGTAGTCTCTTGTTACTGCAAAAAGGAATCTCAAATGTTGACGTCTAACATGTATCTTTTTTCCCCACAATTAAAGATGTATATGTATTTTATGTCTTAAAGCACTTAGAGCTTGAAAAGGGTACTAATAGGTCCATTACTGCTCCTCTAGTAACCACAAGAAATTCCAGTCCTCAAGAGAGGACACCAATATACTAGGTTCAGAAAAAAAAGAAGACTTTAGGACACTCAAACATCTTAAAGAACTAAGAATAACTCATTGAAATAATGTTGATTTCTTTCAACAGACACACAGTTCATTCTACTGAAATGATCAAGTTTAGATGTTGACGTATGACAAATGATATGGATGGAAGAGTTGAGAAAAGAGATGTTAACCAAGGCATTAAGAGGTTCTGAACCAATGACCAACAATAGCTTGAGTAAATAACGTGATTTGGTGACTAGGAAGCGTTCTAGACGTAGCCTTAAGGTGTGTGACTAAGTGGTTTTACATAAATGCCACCTAAATCTTCCTTGTAATTAAGACAAAGTCAACACAGAAAATGGTGAAGCTAATTTTTGAGCTAAACAAACTGCTGTTTGCCTAACAATTTTTTAGCCTTTTTTGACTGAAACTATGTTTCTGAAATCCCTGCCTATCCTGGCAGTTTAATTGCCCAGTTCAGGAAAGAATTGAGCTTACTAAGTGAACTTTTCTGTTTCCAGACTAACTGATGTGAAAGTGAAAAGGAAGTCGTCTTTACTTGTAAAGCATAAACTAGATGTATTAAGGGTGCTCTCCTGTTGCTATATTGACATGGACTGGAAGATTGAGTGGAAAGTGAATGCAAGTGACTCTTGAGTTATCTTTTTTTAAAATTTTTTTATTATATTGGTATTTTGTTACAAGAGCACCTACCTTCAGAAGTCTTAATGCAGTGACAGTATTGAGATCATAATCTTGAAGAATCTAGATATTTCTATGGGTATCTCTGACATTTTCTCATAACAGTTTTATTTTAGACTTAAAAGTAAAGCTTTGAATTCCTTCCTGTAATCTTATCAGGGCAGCACTGTCAGGTTAATAATTGGTGTATACTGACTTTCTTGGATGTATACTGAATTAAGCCAGATAAATCTGTCTCGGATTTTTCATAACACTGTAGGACTGTCAAGAACACCACAAAACATTAAAATAACAAATGTGAAAATTTGGACATGGTTCCTATGCTATATGCTGTTTAGTTTTTTCCTACATGTGTTTTATGTGGTGACAACAGGCTTGTCTGCCTTTCTTTCTGGCTCTTCAACACCTTAAGGCCATACTGCTGGCATTGCAATCGCTGCATGATGATGTTTGAAGCCGAGCCAATTGTAAAGAAATGTGTTACTGTGTTCTGTAGTACTGAGCTAATGAAGGTCACTTCTTTAAAAGGAGCAACATGATAGTCTCCAAAAGGAGAGAGGAGAAGTCCCAGCCAAAGAACTGTCTCTCTTGGTCCTTCAGTATTTATGTTCGTGTATCTGTTTTTTTACAGGGGAAGGATTTTTGTTGAGGCTTCCTTTTATCCATATCTTCTTGTATTTCCAAAGGAAAGGCCTTTAGGTTTTCATTCACACAGGGGAGGCAGAACCTTTTGGAGTAGAACAGACTACATTCCTGTAAAGAAAATAACATTATTAGCAGGATACACAAAATGGAACTGCTGAAGTTCCAGTCTCATTAAACCCATTTATATTTAGAACTCTTCTAAATTAAATTCTTCTTCTAGGTTGAAATATTCCAGCAATTTTTGCTTCTTCCTGTTCAATAATTGTAACATCTGGTTAGAGCTAACTGGGTGAAAAATAAAACCTGGGTCTGTAACCATCGCTAACCAAATCAACTATCATGTTGCTCCTTTTAAAGAAGTGACCTTCATCAGCTCACTGCTACAGCGAACAGTAACACATTTCCTTACAACTGGCTTTGTCCTTCAAGCATCATTCATGGTTCTCCTGGCATGATCACTAAATTCCAAACAGGATTTAATGGGTAAGCTGGAGCTGGTGTTGCTGATGGACTATTCTTGGAGAGTTAAACGTGAATAAAGGCATCAGTACGGATGGATCAGGACATCTTTCTGGGAGTAATGGATTCCATGCGTTTTACCTAAATAGCAAAGTTTTCCTCTAAAACTAAATCTTAGCTTACGAAGATTTCTCCCTCCTGGCAG